AAAAAAAAAAAAAAAAATACCAATGTGGGCGGCACCTGTGGCTCAAAGGAGTAGGGTGCTGGCCCAATATGTTGGAGGTGGCGGGTTCAAACCCAGTCCCAGCCAAAAAAATGCAAATAAAATAAAATATGTATATTGGTATATATATTTGGTATATATATTGGTATATATATATACCAATGCATTATGTCCTTGAGTCAAGAGCTTCCACTGACAGATGTCTCCTCTATGGAAAATGAGTAAACATGTATAAAAATATAGAAAATGTTAAAACATTTTGGAAACAACCCAGATGTCCAAAGGATAACAAGTTCATTATGTTACAATACAATCTTACATTGTAGTTGCTAAAAAAAAAAAAAAAGAGAGAGATACAGGTTATATGCTACCTTATTTAAGAAAGGAAAAATGCAAAATATTTAGGCTGATATTTATTTGCATAAACTTTAGGTAAATGTCGCAAGATGTTTAGAACAAATAAACAGAACCCAAATAAATAAATTTAAAAAACGCTCAATGATACCTGTTACGAATAGTTTTGAATTTGGCAGACAGTGGATAGGTGTATAAGAGAGATTTCTCAGGCCCACTTTTCATACTTTGTTTTTGGAATCTTGCAAATAGATTACATATTCTAGAATAAATCAAGGAGTTTAAAATTAACAAAACAACTCCATTTCCACACCTGCCTAATAGTTATCTTACACTATGTGTTTTTTCTTCTATTTGAATATTTTACTATTCTTTTAAAGTACCAAAGAAAACACCAACATTAGTCTTAATTACGAGTTATTGACCGACAGGAGATGACCACAGATTGTAAAATTTCAGAGTTCTATCAATAGCCTTCCAATCCTCCGATCCTAGTAACTCAGACACAACTGGATTTTTTTTTTTTTTGAGCAGAGTCTCACTATGTCGCCCTCAGTAGAGTGCCGTGGAGTCACAGCTCACATCAACCTCAAACTCTTGGCTCAAACGATTCTCTTGCCTCAGCCTCCCAATTAGCTTAGACTACAGGCACCTGCCACAACACCCAGCTATTTTTTAGAGACAGGGATCATCTCGCTCTTGCTCTCTTCAACCCATGACCTCAGGCAATCCACCTCCTTCAGCCTTCTAGAGTGCCACGATTATAGGCGTGAGCCACCGCGCCAGCCACAACTGGATTCTTCACAACTTTATTTCCTTAACTTCTTTCATCATCTTGGTTAATTTCTGCAGGTACTGCGCCAGCCGCAACTGGATTCTTAACAACTGTATTTCCTTAACTTCTTTCATCATCTTGGTTAATTTCTGAAGGTTCCATTATGGGTAATTTTTCTCAGCGCTTATCTTTGCAAAACCATCCTCTGTCCTTTATGGTGTTGAAACTATCTTGAAACATTTTCCACAAATGAAGGAATAGAGAATCGCTAACAAAGGAGTGAGTCAGAAGTGTCTCAGGATCTCTTTGAAAACAAGCTTCGACATTCTCAAGTGTCTATTTCTATTTCTTTTAACCGAGTGTGCTTCCTCCTTTCAACAGTGCACTGCATGTTCTCTTCCTTGTTTGCATCCCTTCCCCTAATAACTACACCAACGCAGGCCTCTTCTTTGGATCCGAAGAGTCACTTGATTCTTCATCAATTTCATCAGCCGCCTTAGTCGGCCAGGCTGACACCCTGAGAACCAGACAGAGCCAGAGTAAAAGCCACAGCATCAAAGTCCATCTGAGGGGGATTCGCATCAAAGGCTGCTTCCCTTTCCCTGCAGCCTTCCACAAACAGCCGGCGGCGTTCCTCGAAATCTCGCAGTATTCTGACGGGGATCAAGGAGCAATTATCCAGGTACTCGCGGAACAACGTCTGCTGACCCAAGCCTGGCATTAACAGCAGGCCTGGCACGCTGCCGCGGATAGGCCCGAAAGCAGGACCCCGTACCCGCGCCACGGGTCGGGCAGCTGGGCCTTCCCGGGCCTCCTGTGCCTGACTCCCGCAGCCTACTGCTGCCTGCAGGACGTCGCTGACGCGGTTCGCTGTGCCCATCTCTGGGACACTGCTCTCTCTCGGTAGCCCGGACATCTTCAATAGCGAAGCGAGCTCTGCAACCACGGGAGGGTTTTTACAGATACCAGAATAACACACCTGAACAGCGTTTGAAGGCTGTGCGCATGCGTAGGTCTCGGCGTGCGCAGAAGCGCTGCGCGTGCGAAAGGGTATACGCATGCGCGAGTACAGTGCGCAAGCCCTCCCAGGAGTCCTCAAACTTCTTAAACAGGGGGCTGGTTCACTGTCCCTCAGACTACTGGAGGGCCAGACTGAGGGCCCCGAAGAGTCGGCTGCTAAGCAGGACAGGCAGCGGCGGCAAAATACATGGCGAGCCACATAAATGTCCTTGGCGGGCCGTAGTTTGAGGACGTCTGCGCGGCCTAAGCGGTCCCTGCTAGCGGTCCCAAGTGCTATTACAGCTGTGGTCCCCTGCATTCTTCCGAGTGCGGGCAGGACCGTACCATATTTGAAATGGCAGCTCAGCAATGTAGAGTTTCTTATAAGGTAGTCTCTCTAGGAAGGAACAACAGGTGGCAGAGAGTGCTGTGGTGTCTTCGTAGCTCACAGGAACCTCAAACGCTTGAGCTCAAGCGATCCTCTTGCCTCAGCCCACCCAGTAACTGGACTATAGGGAACCCCTACAACAACAATGCTTGGGGCTAGGTTTTCTATTTTTAGTAGAGACAGGACTCCCTCTTTTTAGGCTGGTCTGGAACTCCTGAGCTCATGTGATCCACCTGCGTTGGACTCTAAGAATGCTAGGATTACAGGCATGAGCCACTAGGCCTGGCCTATTCAGTATTTTGAAGTGTTGCTAATAGTACTTTTTTTTTTGGTAGAGACAGAGTCTCACTTTATCACCCTCAGTAGAGTGCCAGTAGTTTGCCGTGGGGTCACACAGCCTACAGCAACCTACAACTCCTGGGCTTAGGCGATTCTCTTGCCTCAGCCTCCCGAGTAGCTGGGACTACAGGCGCCTGCCACAACGCCCGGCTATTTTTTGTTGTTGTTATTGTAGTAGTTTGCCCAGGACCAGGTTTGAACCTGCCACCCTCGGTGTATGGGGCCGGCGCCCCGCCCACTGAGCCACAGGCACCGCCCCTAGTAGTTTGTTTGTTTGTTTGCTTAAGTATACCTAGTTTGTCATGGTGCTTAAAAAAAAAAAAGGCCCCCCAAAACAATCTGGTAAGAGTGTGAAGAGGGCAATTTCTATGACTTACATACCAATCATCTTGGGGCTAATTTATTCCTCAACCAATCAAAGATATGTGTGTTTCAGAAAGTGGCATGTAGTTTTCTGGTTTGTCCAAACCATTCCAGCAAAATAAACATCATTAGGGCAATTTGAATGTGGAAAGGATTTTTTTTGTTAATCACTTAATTAGGTTGATGGAAGATTATATTAAGATTTGGCTTTATTTATTTATTTACTTTTTCTTTTAGAGATGGAGTCTCACTTTGTCGCCCTTGGTGCTATGATGTCACAGCTCACAGCAACCTCCAGCTCTTGGGTTTAGGCGATTCTCTTGCCTCAGCCTCCCAAGTAGCTGGGACTACAGGCGCCCAACACAATGCCCAGGTATTTTTTGTTGTTGTTGTAGCAGTTTGGACAGGGTCTGGTTCGAACCCGCCACCCGCGGTATCTCACTGAGTAAAGGCACCGCCCAAGATTTGGCTTTATTAATGTAAATGGATTTAAGAGATTTCTTTGACTAAGATACTTTTTAATGAATCATTAATTACATGGCTTTGTTTTCTGTCTAAATATGTTTCTTTAAATATTTTAGTAACCCAAGGACAGGAAGAAAGCTATGCATCAAAAGGAACCTGAACCAAGTATAGGGAAATCTTCAAACCTTCAAGACTCCTTTCTTTCTTATTCTTTTCTTTTTTTCTTTCTTTCCTTCTTTTTTTTTTTTTTGAGACAGTCTCACCATGTCACCCTTGTTAGAGTGCCATAGTGTCACAGCTCACAACCTCAAACTCTTGGGCTTAAGCTATTCTCTTGCTTCAGCCTCCCAAGTAGCTGGGACTACAGACACCTGCCACCACGCCTGGCTATTTTTTTGTTGCAGTTGTCATTGTTGTTTAACAGGCCCTGGCCATGTTGGAACCCGCCAGCCTTGGTGTACCTGGCTGCGCTCTAACCACTGAGCAACAGGCACAGAGCCTCTTTCTCATTCTTTCTCTCTCTCTCTCTACACAGTCTCTCACCTCTGCTTCTGTTTGCACATAAGCTTCATTTTTCTGCCTCTGTAGTGACAGTTGTAAGATTTTTGCCTTCAAAATTAGAATATTATTTACATTTCCCTGCACTATTTTTTCACTTAACTATACATTACAAAATTTGATACAGCTTTCATTCTTTTTCCTGTCTGTATAACATTCTATGGTGTGTTGTGTTGTAATTAATTCAATCTCTCCCATTGATGAAATTGTGATTCCTTGTTAGTGAGCACATCCAATTAGGCCGCCTCCTTCGGGATGAGTCTATCCTGAAGCACTGGCCACTGAGCTTTGACCAGGGCCACGGAAATTAAAAGGTGATGTCACATTATCGACTGGAGATGGCTATGAAAAAGTATGAAAAGAAAATACTAATTTTTCCCTCTCCATTTGGCTTCAAATTGTGGACATTCTTGGCCTTGATCTGAGATGGCCACCACCATATTTGTTTCAGCTAGTCTTTGCTGCATAACAAACCACTTAGAAACCTAAGTCTAGTAAAATAGCAATGATTTATTATTTATGATTTTGTATGTTGTGTGTTTTCTTGGGCAACTTTAAAGGGGTTGGCTGAGCTGGAAGGTGTGAGATCCCTTCATTTATAACAGTTGGCACTGGCTGTTGCCTGGGGCCCAATGTTCTCCTCTACATGGCCTCTAATCCTCTGGGCAGCATTCCAAGGGAATGAAATTGGATGCTGCAAGGTCTCTAAAGGCCTAGCTTCAAAAATTGCCCAATGTCACCCCTGTTCCATTTTGTTGTTCAGAGCAAGTCATAAGGCCAACCTAGATTCATGACTTAGAGAAATAAGATTCTACCTCTTGGAATAATACCAAAGTCACATTACAAAGAGATGTGTACAATGGAATGGGAAGGATTTGTGACCATATTTTGCAACTTAATATGTTTCTTCAGCCTCTCTGCCTTCTGATTCATATAAGCATTTTCTACTGCTCAAGAATGTAAATAACTGGGATGGTGCCTATGGCTCAAAAGGGTAGGGTGCTGGCCCCATATGCTGGAGGTGGTGGGTTCAAACCCAGCCCTGGCCAAAAAATGCAAAAAAAAAAAAAATATATATATATATAAATAACCACTTTGGTATGACATTTTCAAATATATGATGTGAAGAGGTATGTGTCCTTTCTTCATCTTATGAATGAGCAAAAAAATGCCGAGTGAAAGTTCCCTCTGTTCCCTTCCCAGTAGGCTCCTCAGGGTTCCCCATCCCCCTGGGCTTTTCCCTCATTACAATTCTGACCATTCTGAACTGTCACGTCTAGAGATATGTCTGTCTTTCACACTGGAGTGTGCGCTCCATGAGGACAGGCTACGTTAGGGTACTGTCTGCAATGTTTTTATAGCTTCCCCCAGTAGACCCCTGATACAGAATAGTTGTGTAGAAACTATTTGTTGAATGAAGGGGTACACAAAGTTATATCTTTCCCAAGTCTGTTTTGTTTGCTTCAGAAACATGGATTTTCCCAGTTAGCGGATGGTTTTCTAGTCCTAGTTCTATACCTCGTTTTTCTGAAACTTCCCTTAACTAGACTTACTGAGTTGTGAAGACAAAGATAGGATGAGATTATCCTAACATCCACACAGAAATTGGTACAGTGGCATGCTTAAACAAGTGTACGTTTAAAGCTGCATGAGTGAACGTTGTGTTTGAGGCACAGACCTCTCTGTGGCTCCCACAGCCACGTGTGCTCACTGATTACTCTGGTTTGCCTTTGCTTTAGTAAGTGCTTGCTCTTTAAGTCCTGCCCACGCTGTCAGAGTGGGAGGTTTTAAAAATAATACAGGGAGTGGATATATCTCAGCAGATAGCACAGGCACTGACACAGGGAAGACATTAATACATTTGCTAAAGAAGTGATTCTTTTACTTACCAGATATTGACATCCTTCATGGCAGATTGGTCTTTTTTTTTGAGACAGAGCCTCAAGCTGTCCCCCTGGGTGGAGTGCTGTGGTATCACAGCTCACAGCAAACTCCAACTCCTGGGCTCAAGCGAGTCTCCTGCCTCGGCCTCCCAAGTAGCTGGGGACCACAGGCGCCCACCACAATGCCTGGCTATTTTTTGGTTGCAGCCATCATTGTTGTTTGGTGGGCCCAGGCTGGATTCGAACCCGCCACCTTAGGTGTATGTGGCTGGCATTTTAGCCACTTGAGCCACAGGTGCCCAGCCGGCAGATAGGTCTTATTCCGATTCATCTCTCCAGATTGCCTCTATAACCCCACAAGTAGAGGTAGCTTTGCAGTTGGGAGAATTGGTCAGTTTTCCCCAAATATCCTAACACCGTTCTGCTACACTGACTGGCAGACTCACACACAAAGAGGATACACACAGTGAGATATACTCACACATTATGAAGGGGATTTGAGTTCTTACTTTTTTTCCTATTTACACAGATTCCCCTCTTCCATCTCCCACAAGTAACCCATTGTTTCATCAATCCTGGTAGAACCTTGCTTTTTCAAGGGCCCAGCTAGAGTAAATCATTCATGACTAAGCTGTTCAGAACTGTGGGAATCTCAGTTACTACAGTTCTTACAGTTTGGGCAACAATCCCTATTTCTCTAGACTTGAATTCAACTTTCATCAGGGCTAGAAACGTGTGACTTCTTTCTCCCACCAAATACTGTTTTTCTTTTTTTTTTTTGCAGTTTTTGACCAGGGCTGGGTTTGAACCTGCCACCTTTGGTATATGGGGCTGGTGCTCTATCACTTTGAGCCACAGGCATCACCCTCCCACCAAATACTGGAAGAGTCCTCAGAAAAAGCATGCTCCCAGGGAAACATAATAAATAGAAACTCCAGGCTGATTTCAGGAATCCAGGGAGACTGCTTTGATCTTGATATACCCAGCATATCAGAGAAGGAGATGGTAAGGCTAAAGCCAAGCTTCATGAAGATTATTATTATTATTGAGACAGAGTCTCACTTTGTCACCCTGGACAGAGCACCGTGGCATCATAGCTCATAGCAACCTTAAACTCTTCTCTTGCCTCAGCCTTCTGAGTAGCTTGGGACTACAGGCATCTGCTACAATGCCCAGCTATTTTTGGAGAGGGGTTTTGCTCTGGCTTAGGCTGGTCTTGAACTCCTGAGCTCAGGCAGTTCATCCACCTCAGCCTCCCAGTGTGCCAGGATTACAGGCATGAGACACTGCATCTAGCCCCCATGAAGATTATTTTGGAAGTTTTTTTTTTTTTT